CCAAAATTTTTCAAAAAAATCTGATTAAAAAGTTTGAAATTTTTGGGGGATTTTGTTAAAATTTGTTGAATTTTTATAATTTTTGTACAAACTTTGAAATATGGATTTATATAGACTTTTATACAAAAACATTAAACATCGAATAAACAAAGTAATATAGCCAAAACTGGTCAAAGTAAAAAGTTTATATTATTTCTTCCACCACTGTATTTTGTATATTAGAAGATATGCACATGTGTATGTGTATCGCCCATTTCTTTCTTTCTTGGGACTACACGAACTGATTTTTTTTTGGAATAAGCCATCTTAAAGAAACTACACAAAAGTATAGCCCCCAATGCAATCAAAATTCGGCCATATTTTCCCACTGATATCACTATAATATCAATTGTTCCATGGGTAAATTGTTATGGCTGGGAAATATTCATCCGTTTTTATTAGTAGTTTAGAAATTGCGAAATGTAAAATCGTACCTTGCTAAAATATCTACAATTTGGATCAATATTTGACTAATTCAGGTATAATTGGCAAGATTTCAGTGGAAGATGACGTTAAGATGGGCAACGACTATCATATCTCGGGCTATCACTGAATTCGAGTACCCAGAACGTAGCACATACATTCGAAGCAATTCGGATTCAGTGATCACATTTTTGTACATTTCAAGAAAATCGGACTAATATATCAAAAAAAAAAAAAACGATTTCTAAGTTCTTTGTAACTATTACAAAGGGCAACACTAACTTTAGTGCATCAATGTTAAAGCTATTTTTGGTGTTAAAATGTTAAAGCTTTTTTGTGCTGATTAGAATCCGGAGGTGTAAAGTTTTCACTAGCGTTTTTGGCAATGTTTAAGAAGCTGTAAAGAAAGAAACAAAAGGTGATAGAAACTTTCACTTTGGTTTAAATTAAACTGGAATTTTCGACTGCAATCCCTGAAAATACCACCCCTGCACCTTGATGTGATGGCCACTTCTTTATTGAACAGCGAAAAATGATTTTGGTGAAGTTTGAGTACCTACAACTAAGCTAATTTATTCAAAATTGGTGCTTGCAATAACTTTTTACCAAGAAATACCTTTATGATAAAATTTTGGAAAATGGGCGTGGCCCCGCCCACTTATTATAACATATATGTATCTCGGTAACCGTTATACCAATTAGTACCAAACTCGGTATTGGTTATTGTTCTTGCCGCATAAAAGCAAAGAGTTGAAAATTATTGAAATCGGACTAAAATTACAGTCACATTTCATACAACGGTTAATTTCAGAAATGCATTTCGATATTTCGAAATTTAAGGACGCTAATTTACTCAAAATTGATACTAACCTATGACTATATAACTTTATCTCATTATTTCTAACTGAACGTTCTGTCGAAGATGTTTACCATATAGCGATAGTTTTCGGAAAGGTGAAAAACATATATTTAATACTTGCGCCTGGTATTTAATGTTCGGCTCCGCCCGAACTTAAGACTTTCTCACTTCTTTTTTATAAAAATTTCAAAAAATGGTAAATTTTAATGGAATGTATACAAGGTGTTCTGACCCCCACCGAAATGTAGGATTTTAAAGCACTAAAAACTTGAAAAAAGGCAAAATGAGCTTTGAAAAAGGTAAAAAAGGCATTTTTTTAGTTTTGTTATGTACTTCCTTTATTTAGAATGTGCATGTCCAATTGAAGATATTAAAAAAGTAATGCAAAAAAAATATTTTTTTAAAAATAAGCTTTTATTTAACATGTTTAATCAAAGGAATAAAATAAAGTAGTGAAACAAAAGAATTTTTAGCAAGAAAATTTTGTCAAAACTGCACTAAAATTAATAAAATAAAATAAGTTAAGGTCTCGTTAAAGTTACTAAAAGCCATTTAGTGAAAGGAGTTATTCAAACTCTAATGAAAATTACTAACAATTTGTACTAATTTACTTCGTTTTTAAAAAAGCTTGTCGCGTGAATAGCAAACGGGCATTTAAATATCTGCATACATACATATATATACATACATACGTAACCAATTATGCATTCGCCGACAAGCTTTTTTAAAAACGAAGTAAATTAGTACAAATTGTTAGTAATTTTCATTCGAGTTTGAATAACTCCTTTCACTAAATGGCTTTTAGTAACTTTAACGAGACCTTAACTTATTTTATTTTATTAATTTTAGTGCAGTTTTGACAAAATTTTCTTGCTAAAAAATCTTTTGTTTCACTACTTTATTTTATTCCTTTGATTAAACATGTTAAATAAAAGCTTATAAAAATACATACAGTGGTGAAAAAATTATAGCCGAACCACTTTTTTCCAGGTTTTAAAGTATTATTTTCGTTGCTATTAAATTTCGGTTATTTTTTTTTTTATAAAAATATAGTTAATTCTTTAATAAAACCCGTGTAAATCAAGGTTCCAAATTTGTGCAGTATTAAGAAAAAATCAAAAAACTTTCGTACAAATATCGAGCTATTTAAAAATTCTAAAAAATCAATCCTAATTTTTAGCCATTTGAAACTTGTACTTTATTCTACTAGAATTCAATGGGCTACAAAACTACACACCCATAATCTAATTAAAAAACTCCTAATTTTTACGAAAATTTGTTGACTTTTTTATTAATTGTATGAATTTCTAAGACAGAGACACTTGATTGGTACATTTGTACAGATTTCTTCATTTTTATATTGCTCTATTGGTACAAAATAAAAAAATGGGAAATTTTTTTTGTGGTCAAAATATTGGTACAATTGTTCTATTGAAAAATTTCAACGAATTAATTTTCGTGATTGGGATAACGAAAAATATTTGGGTATTCACACTAGAGCTGGAGAAACATCGATGCATCGATGTTTTTATATAAGCTACTAACATCAATTTTTTTTCTCAACATCGATGTTTTTGCGAGTGGCAAACCTATATTTATTTGGCGCGTAAAAATGTAAAAGGTAAAAAACTTTCGTTTTTTCCGGCGGGATTACTAAACCTAGTATATTTTAAGACTTGTACCAAAATATTTCGGAGAAATATTAAGATTTACGTGAGCTGGACCGGTTTGAAAATACCTCTAAAAATAATGTTTTTTTATGAATAAAAATAGTTTCTTAAAGGATTTTTTAGAAAAAATCCCCTCAAATGGCAAAACAGTTTAAGCTTAAAAAATCTACATAAAAATCTATATAAAAATAATAAGATTTTTGATGCTATTTTTTAACCTTTTTCAGAGATTTTTGTAAGAAAAACTTGAATAACTGCTGCAAAACTTTACCGATATAGACTTGTGATGTATAAGTGGAAAGGTATTTTCTCACCCTTTTTATTTATTTGCAAAAAAACTCATTCACGACCCAATTTTTTCCTTATCAAATACCATTACTACTTAAATCAACATGGAATGACACTCGTTTATTTGACCTTCCTCTTTCATATTTTGAATGAGCTTATTCGCAAAGAAATTAAAAGCGTGAGAAAATACCTTACTAATGATACCTCATAAGTCAGTAAGTGATGCAGTCTACTATACATAAGTTGACTATGATTAATTTAAATTAAAAATTTAAAATTTTCAGGCAATAGCCTCATGGGATTATCTATTATATGTTTTGTTGTTTGTGTGAAATATTTTATTTTTATCGGTATTTTTATTTTAATCAAAATATGTTTAAATAAAAGTAAAAAAAAAATTCCAGATTTCAGTGATTTGTCCTAATTACATTGCTTTCAAATTACGGGACTCTTAAATTAACTCGGGAATGTTTTTACCCTTCACTTATTTCTTGCTAAATATGTCAAATTTTTCTTTTAACTGATATCCATACATACACATTTACACATATCATTTACCTTATTCCCTTAATTTACGTCAATTTGATTTTTTAAACATGTGGCAACCCTTCTACTTGTCGTTTAGAAGTAAAGCAGTTTGAAAACTATTTCAATTGATACCTATATTGTAATATCTAATTAATTTAACTTATCAAATAATTTTAATAAAATTTGTAACAGGTGGCAACCCGTTTCAAAAAAATAAAACTATTTCACATCTACAGGCCAAGCCCTGTCATTGGACATCTCACTTTTGAAAATAGAACAAACTATATGTACATACCTATGTATGTAAATGCCACAAGAACCCAAATTTTCAACTCCAAACTGCATTTAAATCCGACCATAAATTTATTTTTGCCCACATTTTATATGGAAGGGAAGCACTGTGGAGCGGGCCTAATTAACGAGGAACGTTATTTGTTTCATACTTCAATTACATATCGACTGCCGAGTGGAAGATCGACCTATCTCGGCAGCCAGTTCGAAAATGCCCTATCTCAGAAAACTTTTTAAGACCGGCCTATTTCAGAATTTGGTTGAAGGACGCCATATTTCAGAATTTGGTTGAAGGACGCCCTATTTCAGAATTTGATTGAAAAACGATCTATCTCAGAAAATTTTTAAGAACGTCCTATCTCAGAATTTGGTTCAAAAACGCCTTATCTCAACTTAAAATATATTTAAAATATGCATTATACATATAATGCGATAGTAAATTTTAAACACAAATATCAATATATTCGCGAAACCATAGGCCAAATATAGGAAAATTGCGTTGTTAGTTTTTCAATCTGACATCGGTAATTCAAAAATGATTTAAAAAATTCAGAGAAATGTGCTTAGAGAAGAAGTATGGGTATAAAATTAAAAAGGAAATCCTGTAGAAACAGAATCAAGTTTTTGGTGCAGAAGGACAGGTAAGTATTGAAAAAGTCCTTTTAAAATTTTATCCTTGAAATTTCGCAATATTTGTTTTTGAAAAATTATATGTTAAGGACTTATATAAACTCGATAACGTCCTGGAATTTCATCCTTCTAACTTTATCAGCTTAAAAAATTATCTATTCGTCCTTGTGAATCCAAAAAATTTTAATTTTTTTAAATTCTAAAGAAATTTCCTCTTGCATTGACCCATATTTTTATTCTACATTGCATTGAATTTTTTAAATAGTTTTTGGAATTAATCATATCTTTGAAATTACAAAGTCCTTTAAAATAAATCCAGACGTCAGACAGAAATAATAAAAACTCCACTTAAAATAAAAAAATAGGTTTCAAACCCATTTATTTATTGTTTATTTTATGTTAGGAGAGCTTCTCAAACAATATAGAATCAATTTTTTAGATTTAACCCTTTCGACCCGGATGGTACATATGTGTACCACTTAAAGTTTAAACATCTTTTCTGGAGGAAGCTCTGAAGAATTTGTACGAAGTGGAGTCTCTTACTCCAGCGATAACGAAGATTCAGCAGACGATAGAAGCTCTAAATAATTTGTACCAGCTGGTGTCTCTAGTTCAAGCGATAACAAAGATTTAGCACATGACACAGTGAATGAGGTGAATAAGGCTGCCGAGGGAGCACTTGTCTGTAATGAACCAGCTAGCAATGACTTTATTTCCAAACCTGTCGCGTCTAATATCAATGCAATTTCGAGCTCTGCTGTCGAGGATTTCGTACCTAAACAACTTTTTAGAATCCTCATAACCTGGTCTATTATTGACTATTTCCACGATCACTTTATATATGTATATAGCACAATATACAAATGAGCGTATTAAAATTTACGACAGCGAACCTAAAGCCAAGAAAATAAAAATAAGTGAATCCAATGCTGGTGAAATAAAAACAATTGCTGGATGTACGTTTGTTATATGCACAATCGACTTCCCTCTCTAAAGGATTATAAGTCCCTTGGTATGCAGTCATTGAAGGAAGCAATTGAGACATTGATTCTGGAAGGCTTACAAACCACAGCCGTTCGTCGATCAATGAAACCAGGCCGCGCGCCACAAACCATCAATCGCCAGGCAATACATATTCCAGTTGAAGGAAGTACCCGACGTCGTTGCACCAGCTGCAGCGCAAAAAAAACAAACCCGACACGCACTGAGACAATCTGTAAGGAGTGCCAGTCCCGCTTTGCAAAATGTGCTTTGCTCCATATCACAGGTAAATTTTATGTGAAACACATTTTTAATTATAACTGACCCCTTCTTCAATTATATTTACAAAAATTAATAAAATATGAAGTACTATTTGTTATATTTATATCACAGTGCCTGTTATTTCTAACTGGTATAGTTTGTTTTACTGGGCGATTGGTACTCATTTGTACCACATAACATCCCGGATGGTACAATGGTGTACCACCACCCCCCGAGCTAACCTTTCACTGTTTCTCAGATTTTAATTCAGCGATAATTTATATATTACTTAAATAACCGATTCCAATCAAAAATTTTATTTTAGCATTGCTATTCGAAAGCCGGGTCGAAAGGGTTAAGACGTTGAAAAGTATTGAATATCTAAATCACGGGACTAATCCCGGGATCTCGGGATTGTGATAACGACATCCCGAAAGTCCCGGGATCGGAAAACGCTCAAAAATTAGAATCCCTAGTGTACATGGACAGACGGACGGACGGACAGACATGTCTTAATCGATATCTCTTTTAGTTCTGAGCATTTATGTCTATATCTATCTCAAATCTTTTTAGCTGTTACAAACAACCGTTATGCGAACAAAGTTATAATACCCTTTTACACAAGAGCGCTCGGGTATAAAAAAGAAATATAGCCAATACTAGTCAAGAATAGGAGTTTCTATTATTGACATCAGTGCAAATTACAAATCCTGAAAATGCCGGGATTAATTTTCAAGAATCCCGGGATTTTTGGGACCTAAAAAAGGCCGGAATCCCGGGATTAACATTCCTAGTTAGACGAGAGGCACAGTCGCTGACTGGAGGCAAAGTACATAATATGTACAAAACACGAAATGCAACGAACCGTAAAATAATTTGTGAACACATACATACGTGTGATTGTTTAAGTACAGTACGTGTATAACATGCATGTGCACATACAAAATTATATTTATTTTTAACACTTTCCTGTCATTTTCTCAAACAAAATCACTTCTGAGACAACAAACCGGGCGATCACTTGTAGTTTTATTCCAAGGTTGAAAAAACACACTGAGCGCAGCGCAGCGAATGCCAATTGGCGGAATAAAATGCACTGAAGGTATTCGTTTGCGGATTGAAAGTAAAAAGTTGGAACAAACTATAATCGACACAAAAATAACAAAAAACTGCAAGCTTATTAGTCGTGTGACCCTATACATATGTATGTTTTCCCAATAACCAACCCTGCAAACCATTTTTTCAGAGTATTCTAAATTGTAGGGAAATTTTAAAGAATACGTAGATTCCATCCGATTCTTCTACAAAATTTCGGAAGAAAATCGGTAATGAAATGAAAATAATGCTGCTATGTGAAGAACTTCTTGCAGAGTTTTTTCCGAATTTTCTTTATTTTTCGTACAGAAATTTCTTTACGAGTTCGTGCCAACCACTTCATATAATTTCCTTTGAGGATTCGTAAGAAACTCGTTACCGAAATGAGATACTCCTAAAGATTTCATAAAGATTTCGGGAACTTTGGTTTGCAGGGAAGGTATCCGAATTTGTCGGAAATCAGACTTTTCTGAACAAAGTCGAAAGTCTTTCGATATAACTTAACGAATTCGTCACGATTTTTCACCGAATTTTTCGGATATCAGACTTTTCTGAACAAAGTCGAAAGTCTTTCGCTCTGGCTTAACGAATTCGTGACAGTTTCGTAACGATCCTACCTTACGAAATCGTTAAGTTATTTCTTTACGAAGTCGTGTCAACTTTCTCATATGAAATTATTGACGATTTCGTAAAGAAATCGGTTCCGATTTCGGAAAAATCTTTAGACGCGACGTAACGATTTCGGTAAGAAATCGAAACAAATTGTTTGGTGGGTTTAGATTTGTCAGTTGTACGTATGTATGTACATACTTATATCCGTTCGTACTTGAAGAGTGTATATGGGGCGTTCCATACCAAAATGGACGGGGTTCACACTTGATGTGTTTGATTCGTTTAAAATTTTTAGGGTTAATGGATAAACATAAATAATAAATAAATATGAAATTTGAGCTTGATTAATACATTTTTAAAAACTTTACAGCACAAAACAAAACAAACCGATTTAATAGTTTACAAAATATCTCGAGAACGGGGCGAGGAAAAAATTTGGAAAAAATCACACATGCATACATCAAAGTTCTCTATGAAAAGAACTATTTTTAAACTTTTTTCTCTTGAAAAATTTTTCACATAGATACAAATTTCTTGATAAAACAAAATAGTTTTTGAAAATATGCCATCTCGAAAAAAAATTTAAAAAAATCACAATGGTAGCTCTGAGTATTGCGCAATATATAAGTATAGTATTATGGGGTGCACTCTACAATAATTTGAGTTATGATTTTTTTTTAACCGAAGCTGAGTAAAATGAGTACATTACAAATTTAAAATTTTTTTAGAATTTTTTTGAGCATGCAGTTTTGTAGCTTATTAAATTTTAGTATAATAAAAGTTCAAGTTTAAGCGATTGCAAAACTGGCTTTAATTTTTTTTTTTAATTTTCTTTGAAAACGGTTTTACGCATTTTCTTCCATAAGAAAAAAGTACACAAAGCCGTCAGCATAAAAAATATTAAAAACCAACGCAATTTTGCAGTAGCTTAAATTTGTAATGTACTAATTTTACTCAACTTCGGTTAGAAAAAAATTCATAGTCGAAATTATTGTAGAGTGCACCCCATAATACTATACTTAAATATTGCACAATACTCAGAGCTACCATTGTGATTTTTTTTTAAATTTTTTTTTTTTGAAATGACGTATTTTCAAAAACTAATTTTTTTTATCAAAAAATTTGAAATTTTTTTTTAGATATTTTTGTTTTATAGAGAATTTTGATGTGTGTATGTGTAATTTTTTTTCAAATTTTTTCCTCGCCCTCGCTATTAAATTGATTTGTTTTTGTTTTTGTGCTGTAAAGTTTTTAAAAATGTATTAATCAAGCTCAAATTTCATATTTATTTATTACTTATGTTTATCCATCAACCCCAAAAATTAAAAAAAAATCAAACACATGAAATGTGAACCCCGTCCATTTTGGTATGGAACGCCCCATATACAAAATTGCAGTTCAAAATGGCTCAATCGTGAGGGTGTAATAAATCGGACTTACCAGAAACAGATACATTAGCATTATTAGATGCATGCATATTAGAGTGGTTCAAAAAACACTATTTTTGGAAATTCATAAACGCTACATCAAAATATTGTTATTTGTGATAAAAAAAACACGCATTTTTTTATTTTGAAAAAAAAGTTTTCTCGGAGGTCGCGCTGGTAAATTTTTTATAAAAACGGTGATTTTCTCATTTTTTTTTTTACTTTCGTGACTAAAGTGCAGCCAAAAATGTTGTTTTCACAGGTAATTACTCAGGTATTACTGATGAATATTCCCTTAATTACATACCTGTCTTGGACAGTTAGAATGGGCCTAGTGCCCGAGAATATGCTTTCGAAAAGAGACTGCTAAAATTCATGGGTTAAAACGCGTATGATGTCAGTTTTTAATGCAAATTGACGGATCCAATATGGCGATCAATTTCTTAAAAAAATTACTAAAATTAAAAAGTCGATACTGAACGTTATAAGCATTGTCATGGGTAAAACTCGTTACCAGGGTGTTTCTGAGATCGCTGATTACGAATCTGAAGTTAATTTTAAAAATTCGAAATGGCGTTTATGAATTAAAAAAAAATATATAAATAAAAAATTTAACCACTCTAATGCACATTTGTATTTAGAAATGTGCTTGCACCTAGTAAGGGTGCGCAAGTGTATCAATACAGCGCTCACTCGTAAACGATTTACTATACAAAATGAAGGTATATGAGTATATTGTATTTCAATTACATACTGCGTTTTCCAACAATTAGCGCCCACAACTAATTACATACATATATAAAATTATTTTATATATAGGTGAATGTTTAACGTTGTATCGCTTGCCATTCACAAATGTATGAATGCGTATGAACATATATGCGTGCATCAACATATGTAGGTGCATTTAGAATTTCATCACAACTGCTCTAAAATATTTATTAATATACAAATCAGGGTTGTTGCGAATAATTGTTTTCGCTTAATTTTAACATACGAATGTTGTGCAAGTGCACTGATAAAAGGTTTACCTGGGCACCACCTACTGCTCGAGAACAACCACATTTATTTTGCTTTTGTGATAATTGTCAAAAATAGCACGCAGCGAAACAAAGATAAAACAGAATGTGAAAAAGTTGACATCCAAGTTAAGAAATAGAACAAGAATCAATTCAAGGCGAATTTGAAATCTATTGAGGAGTGGGATTTGGCATGCAATATACTGCGCTCATTAGCATCGTTGATGCGATTCTCAAAAAGGAATTATTATTGTACCTCAAAGTAATAAATATAACTGGTGGAGGGTCAATCGGAATGAATTTAAAATACACTGTAGGAACGCTAAATTGACACAAAAAATGAAACGAAAGGATACGTAAACCATTTAGTGAACAAAAGTGGCGCATTATGCAAACCCTTACTTTGGGTTTACCGATTTTGACAATTCTCAAGTAAAAGTAAACAACGCCTCAGAAACTCTAAATGCACTGAAATTCAATAATACTTTTACAAAAATCGCAGTTTTTTAACATTTTCTGTATGAATTCTTTTTATCTATACTAATATATATTTTGAAAGCCGTTTTTTTCTGTTCGCAAAGCTTGAGATCGGCTGTACCGATTTTTTTGAAATTTTGGTTATAGGTTCTGGATGGGCTTCTCATTGTCTTAGGCAAACAAAAAATAGTTTAAATACTTCTTAAAAACGGCAACTGCAGGACTTTAAAAATCCTATAGAATTTAAGAGAATCTAAATAAGAGCGCCCTCCTCTGTTAATTTGTACGGAATACAACGCGAACCAAGGGTTATGTATACATATATACACGTGCTAATGTTAACGTTAATGTTGATTCTTATGATGTTAAATAATGTAGGCAATTACATATGTAGT